GGTTAGTGAACACTTACTGAGGCAAATTATGGAGGTCCTAGGCTGGGAGAAAAACCATAGACCAAGAGTGGAAGGAGAAGCTAGCAGGTTTTAAAATACTTGTGTAAACTGTAGTATAATTTTTTTTCATATTAAAATATTAACATGAACTTGGTTCCCGCCCCCCTTCCTTAAAAGAGCGTTCAGGCAGAGTAGTCTTTAATATTGGTTAGCTCTTGGTAAAAATGAGTTACGTGGGAAGTGTTATGGCAAGTCATTTCCTTTTTTTCTTTCTAAGGACTCTGCTTTTTTCTTTTTCACACATATGGACTAACAAAACTCGCTGAGTTCCAGATTTTTAGGATGTCAGAATTCTAGTGGCAAAGTTAAATATAAAAATTATGCAATATTTCAATACGTTGTGTTTACTTTCTGCCATATGACTTTCCTTTCATACCTAATTCAAGAGCGCGTTTCACCACTTCATGTTCACCAGATCATAACCACACGAAGAGGTTATTCACCACTTAGGAATGAAAAGTCCATCTGTTAGTTATTATCTTTGCTGTGCTGCAGCACTTCAGAATGAGTGCTTGGGAGAGACTTTAAATGCTGTACCCAGTCTTTGCTCTCTTCTAGGCAGATGTGGATACCTAGGAAATGCTACCCTCCGTTGTTTGGGAGGGGGGAATCTTCGTTCTTCCCATAGGTTAGCAGAAGTTTGGTTGTGGATTTTTAGGACTAGGCCCAAAATAGATAGCATGATTTATTGTATCTGAATTATGCCAAGTAAATACCTCGATGTTTCCACTCAGTTCGAGGAAGAAGAACCATCTTTGTTTAAAATGTGTGCAGGGTTTGAGTTGATCTCTCTCACAGGAAAATTATGAATGTCATTGTACAAATATGCATTTTAGTAATATTTACAATTATTTAGATGGTTAAAACTTGTTTGTTCTCTTTTGAGTGTCTAGAAGACTAAAGAAATAACATGCTTACAATTTATCTTTAATTCCAGATTGCAGATTTTTTTTTTATTATTATTATTAAAATGAAAGTTCCTGTAGATGACATTCAGGAAAACCTGATCAGTAGGGAATTTCCTGCTGTCTGAATTCATGGAGACAAGTTACGCCCCGGCGATGATAGCCACGGGCTCCATTTGAGGGGAGCTGGTTGCAATGCAGTGACCTAATGCGGCATTAGGGAGACAGATTAGGAGTCTGAATTGTTGAATTCCTGGAAGGTGGTAGAATAACTATAGATAGTGGAGCTGTCCTTTGCAGAAACTCATAGATGCTATCAGAAGCGCAGAGCCACATTAATGTCGGTGTTTTGCGAAAGGTAACAACGCCGTTCGTAGAGCAAATGTAACAGATTATATGGGAACCGACGTGGGATTGCTGTATCTTGTTAAATTTTCTCAATTGTCACAATTTCTGTAGACTTTTATACTGCCTGCTGGCAGGCAAATTTTATTTAATTTTTGTCCTTTAAAAAGCAGTTATTGTTATTTCATTCCAGCTAAAATCAAAAGCTGTTTTCTGCCAAGATTGTCTCTTTGTGGTCCTTATAAATGGAGTTGTCTTATTAAGAAGAAATCCAGGCCTATTTCTTGCTTCATGGCATGGGCATAAAGCCTTGCTTGGAGCAAGAAAATAATTAGGAAAATGTATTATTAGATGGTGGGGGTTGGACGAGGAGGCTGAGGGAATGTATGGAAGGGAGAGAGAAAATGTGTGGGAAGTAAATACCAGGGAGCAAAGAAGATTGAGAGAGAAGGGTGCAAAGAGAAGTCCCACTGAATACAGGGATTGGGAGGCTGTAGGATGGATGATTTGTATGAACTGGGCAGCAGGGGAAAAGAGAAGGCAGGGGGAGGGTTTAAAAGAAAGGTGGGAAGATGGGATATTGAGGCAATGGTTCTGTCAGGGTGGTCAGTTCGTTTCGAGCCAGGCTTATCTTCAAATTCATCATGTCAGGAAAGGCTGAAGGAGCTCATTTAGGATGACAGCCTCAGTTAAGTTGGTTCCTGCAACTGGAGTTGTAGAAGATTCCAACTGAAAGGATGGACTTACGCTGGTTGTCATTCATTTTACTGGGTTGTCATTTGAAATGCAGAGTAAAGGAAGGGCCTGAAGAAGGTTGCAGCTCATTATGGGTTCTTACTGAGCAGGCTACACAGTCCCAGTGATACAGGACAAGTAGGTAAAATGGTGATAAAAGAATATCTGGTAATATCTGATTACCAGGTTCTCCCTATTCCATCTCCTCCTACCTGTGGCGAGACCCCTTCCCTGCAAATACGTGGGAGGGCCTGCGTCCCAGCACTGCCCTACATCCTCAGCTTATCCTGGTGAATAATCAGCACAAGAAGTTACAAGACTTGCAAAAATACCATTTCATTTCTTTTTTTTCTCCAAACGGGTCTAGCCTTTTCAAAGTAAAAATAGAAATTGTATGTGTGTGTATAGGCATCTGGAAAAGCCTTACAGGGCAGTCTTCTTTTGCCCATAGGTCTGTGGTGTTCACCTTCTGATGTATGACTTTTTCTAGTTCTGGGGTAAAATTGGGAAGGTTTTTAATCACGACAAAGCCTTTCAGAGAGAACCTGAAAAATCAGTCTTGCTCAGGAGCCATCGTGTATTAGAGTTCAGAACTGAGTGACAAGCATTACTTTCCTTTTGAGATCTTCTAAGCGTGTACAGTCAAGGAAGAGGTTGGCAGGTGGATTAGCAGCAAACCTCAGCTTGCACTTGTGTATGAAGTAGGGAATGTGGTAGACTGAGGTCTTTTGGATAGCATAGACAATAACAGCAAAGTTTAAAAAAGAGAAGCATTGAGCTCCTTTGTTATATTCTCCCTGAAGTTTACAGCCCACACTATGCACTAAAAATGTAGATGTTTTCTCTGTCACTGTCAACCAATAAAATTTACTTTAAAAACACAAAAGATAAAGCTCTGACTCAGTGATCTAACACTTCAGTAATTTACTATCATAAAATAGTTTAAAGTACAAATGTTTTATCTTATGCCAAGCTGGACGCTAAAGATGTTTTGTCTAAAACATGAGATAATGGAAAGTGTATTGTGGCATGTGAACTACTTTAGCCTCTTGGTGGTAAATGTTTGCTTAACCAGAGAAGAATGTGTTGAGGTCCTTGCCAAAGGAAAGGTATTGCCGTGCTTTGCATTTAGAGTACTGTAAATAAAGCAGTAAATATGTTTCTGTTCATGTGTGTTAATCCACAAGTTATGAATGCATTCATTCAATAAGAAATGTAATATACTGTTATCCCTTCTAAAGGGTTTCAGTAAGAAGAGCTCATAATTACTTTGGGTTGAGAGAAACATGAAACCAAATATTTTCATGATGATTGAAGTTGAATATGAGAAATAGTTTTTGCTCAAACTAAGTTTCCCTTAAATCCCAAGAACTCAAATTCTGTTTTACCTCCAATACTCTTCTTGTGTGCTGACTCTGATGTACTGTTCTTAATCACACATTACTGTAAATCATAAAGTATATAATTGCCTTCACCCATCCAGTGTTGGTTTTGGCAAAAGAAAACCCAACTGCATAATATGTTAATGATCAGAGAAGGTAGAGCAGCTATGGGAAATACTCCACTTATTGCCCACAGTGTATTTTGGTTTTGAACTTCATTTGCCTTTAACTGATACAATAGCTTAGTAGTAATTTAATAACGCTGATTACAGAAGGAATTGCATAACTCAGATTGCAGTGTAATAATATCGGAGCATCTGTTGGCTGCCGCCATTATGGCAAGGGAAGGCAACAGGGTTTCTCTCACAGAGGGCTTTGAAATATCCCTTCTTTCTTTCCCCAAAATCCCACGTCCAGGTTTCCAGTTAGAGAGTTGGGAGAGAATATTATGCTTCTAAGAAATAATTGTGGAGAAGATGCTCAGTTTACTTTTTATTACTGTGGCATCATTTGTTACGTACCTGGCTTCAGCCTCCGGGGTGGAGAGGCGTCTGTTTCTGGGAAAGGACCACACCTGAGTCACGCACACGTATGTGGGGATTTCTACAGGATGTTTCTTGCAGACGGTGCTGTAAGCAGAGATTTGCTTAGGCATAAATGGGGATGTTGTACCGTTTTTTAGAAATGATTGCCCCAGTGTTCTGGGTATCGGAGCCCTTACTTCTACAGAACCAGAATTCTAAGTGCTTCCAATATACCTTTGCTTTAGTAGTTGTTCAGATACGCTTTTTATTTCATCTTCCCAGTACGTCACTGATAATTCATAAGCAAACATGATAAATGAGGTACGCTACTAACCATGTAAATTAAACCTGTCATGTTAAACCCATAAGTAGAACATTGCTATTTTCAATTTAGAATCTGATTTTGGTAAATATATCCATTTTGATAACCCTATGTCCACATCCAATTTTGGTAAAGATACTCATTAAGAACTCATGAAACATTTCAGCCCTTAGAGAAATTTGACTTTGATTCTCCTCTTGTTCTTATGCTTAGAGTTTTAGGACGGTTTAAAAAAAATTACGTAGTTGGATAATAAGACTGGATATGTAATTTGAATCATAGTTCTTCTGAACATGGTATCAACTGAAAATCCTGTGAATTACCAGAAAGCTTTTTTCTTTTTTTTTTTTTTTTCCCCAGAAAGCTTACATCATATTTAAGAAAATCTGGAGGAAGTCTGTCCTTCTTACCCCAAGGCAGAATTGACTAGACTTAAGTCATTCCTTGAAGATACTTAACCTATTAAGATGGCAGTTTCACAGCTCCTTCTGCAATTCAAAAATTTTTACTATGCTTTTGTTTCGGGGTATCTGAACTTCTTTGCCACCGGTTTAAGTTTACTACACTTTGTTCTCCATGTCTTTGTGGCAGGATAAGGCTTATAGTTTTCCTGTGTTTATGTGTTCACTGATTTTTGTCTGAATCTCTTGTTCTCTCAAAAGCTTTAATGCAGTGTATGTCCTTGGTAGTATTAAAATCTAAAATAAACTTCCCGGTTATTTTTAAGGTACAATGAACTGGATGCCAGTAGAAGCCTCCTAGACAATTTGAAAGGCAAAGTAATAATTGAGTATCCAACGTTATTTGTGGTCTTGAAAACACTGAAGAATGACATGGTGATTCTTGGCCAAGGTAAACATATATTTATTTCCTGTTACACTGTACTTCGATATTTTAGTTAAATAAACCATAATTAAGGATACACCTATTAATAATGCCAGGAATGTGCAGTATGTCTTGTATTTCCCTCTGAATCTAAAAGATTGTTGTAAAAACCTGTTATGAATGCTCTGCCTTAAAACTGCTGGCTGATGGCTTACATCCATAAACTGTATTGTCTGTATTTTTCCTAACTTTGTTTACTGGTGCTTAATCCTTTTTTTTGTATATTTTTAGCCCCTAAGGTAAAACCACTCTTCAGAGTTGTGCTAAATTTTGTATGTAGCTAAGTTTGACAGAGTTGGTTATTTCTAAAAAGTCAAGCTGTCTGGGGAAGAAGAATTTTAAGTAAGCCTGCTAATCATACAAAGGAGTTATTCCCCATTATTTCCTAGCGTAACTCCTAACATTGGACAAATAATTCTGAATTACAGGATAGTTATCGTAATGGCAAGTAGCTTTTTGGGTGGGTTAAAAGCACAGTGTTATCTTTTGAAAAGTACTTAGTTGAGAGAAAACTTCATCTTGGAGGATCTTTCAACTTAAGAGTCCAGGCATAGCAGGAATTTGTATTTTAGTTTTGAAGTTAATTTTCATCTTTCTCACCAGTATAAAGGCTTCATGTCTCAGCTTTGCTTTCTGCAGCTGCTGATACAGGGAATCAGCTCCCTTGTCTCTCGCTCCCCCAGCTAGTCACCTTAGTTATCAAATTCCATACTTTTCAGTGATGAGTTGGTCTGTAATTTTTACAGCTTTCCAAGGAAAAGCTTTGAAATATGTTTGCAATGGCTATATCCCTGTGGCAGCTCAGTGATGGCTCTATATGTATAAAGTTGTTGTCCCTTTAAGGGTATAGATTCAAATAAGCGTTGATGGAACAACTATATTTTGAGGTCATGCTGCCGCAGCAAGTAGCCGATTCTGTAAAAGGGGGAGTAGAAGGGAAGAGGGAAGAGAGCACCCGTAATGGCTGGGGAAGTGACCTCCCTCTGCTGCAGGGATCATTCAGTTAGTAGTCATTCCTGAAGCTGGTATTCAGGGAACACTGGCAGCTATTTCAGGTCTTTCTATAGATTCCACAAAAATCAATCGCATAGTTAATGGTAAAAAGAACATGATTTTCATAAATTTTATCATAATTTCTTTTTTTTACATCTTCTTAGTTAATATCTTAAGACTTGACTTCAGCCTTGAGTTTGGTTTGGACCCTATGTTCTTGGAGCTTTTTCTGTTAAGAGTGGAAGCCTGCCACGGTAATTCCAGATTCTTCCAGGAAAAGCGGGTTCAGAACATGAATATAAAAACAGAAAGCCTTTTTTGTTGCTGTTATTCCACTTGAAAAGAAAGTATCACTTCAGTTGAAGTGTGGCACGATCATTGTACTCTTCTGTTGTGTGTCATCCTTGCAGAATAAGGGAGAGAAAACAGTATTTAGTTTGCTTACCAGTTGCATTCACAGCTAATTGCTAAGAGTGGCAATCTTGGGTTCACCTCCAGACTCTCCAGGGAGAAGTCTGTAACCAGAGAGGTGCTTCAGCCCACTCCCATCTCCCAAGAAGTGACCTTTCTGCTGCAGCATCTTGTGCGTTACTTGCAGTCCAGTTTCTTCGACACGTATGGCTTTTTGTTATCAGTTGCGCGCTCCTCCTTAGCCATCCATCCTGCTCTTGCTTATCCTGTCCCGGCCAGTAGTGACTTCCCTTTCTGCCTGCCTTCTCCCTGTGCAGCGGGAGGGACGCTCCCCCTGGCAGGGTGTCTGCCGGAGCGCAGGGGCTTCGACTACCATAGCCCTCCAGGGTCTCTTTTCAAAGGACCCAGGCTAGAACAAGAAACAAAGTCTTGTGGAAACTTAACTTCTAAAATGATGGTTCTTTACCGAGCGATCTTAGATCTACCCTCTACCCCAGGAAGAACGGAGGCAAGTTTTCATAGCCACAGCAACAGCACGTGCCGGGGCAAGATCACCATTCCCCCCCCGTGATTCAGGTTACTACCCCCAAAGACTGGGGGAGAGCTAGAGCTGGACACCTTCAAAGAGAGACTGCTAGAGTTTAATGAGGGCAAAGCCTGTTTTTCCTATCCTTCTTCTCAGAAGTGGCTGAAACTTTCAAAAAAAAAAGGAAAATAAGGATCAAGGAAGGAAACTGGCACTGAAAAATTTAAACCCAGACTTTAAATTTTACATTGTAAGTAGACTGCAGAAAGTGTTATGATGGGAAGGCCTGGGCAGTCTTAATTTATAGGCAATGCTATCAACACCATAAAAATACGTTCTTTTAGAGTGAAGACAATCTATAATTCCTGTTAAATAAAACTTAATGTAACAGACTAAACTAAAGCTAAAATTCATCTGTTGAGCTTCACTGTGAGTCAGAAGATTGCCACATTCTTTTATGTGATGTTTTGATGCTTGACTTGCTTATAGCAAAAACTACAGGTGCTCTGATTTCAGCATACAAGGTCAGTCATGGCTGAAGATAGTAGGGGATTATAGAAGCTTTCACAGGACTTAGGGGCAAAAACAATCCTTACTTTGTGCATTACTCAGTACATATCTGGCATATAAATGTTAATTGATTATACACTAGATTTAATGTAGACAAAATGTGACCTCCGATGTTTCTGGGTGAAATGCTTCTATTTTCTTGAACAAATTCCACTGAAACTGTACAGGTGCACACTGTGTCCTATGTATTATCCGTGTTTCCCAGCTGTAGAACTCATCTTGACAAGACAGTAACTATACTGCATCAGCTCCCTTTCGGTAACGTTTCCTTAATGAAGCATCTGACACTAAATGCTCAAAAACTCCTTTAAATTCATAGTTGGAGCAAATACTGAAAATAGCAATGACAGCAGAGTATGAATCATGGGGCTGCTTCACTGTAGTTTATTTTTGTGCTGCTTGAGTGCCACCAACCAGTGGCATTTGGTCACCTCACCACAAGGTGACCGGGGTCAGTGCTTGTTAAAGTAGGGGTCTCAGGGTGTGAGGCTGACGACCGGTTTGGGAAATGAATGCTTCACGATATGACCACAACAGCGGTGACCTAAAGCACAAGTTATGGCGCAGCTTTAACCTCAACAGCCTTAGCTCACGGATTCACACAGCTTAACACCGTCTTGGGGATGCTGGAACACGTGGAAGGAGTACGTAGGTGCGTGATCTTAATTCTCCATTTCTGTCCAGAATTTCTCGGCAGTTCCCCATCTTAAGTGAAATGCTAATACAAGTGTAAATGATTTATAATTCATTACAGTTTTGAAATATAAGTAGCAACCCAGAAAACAACATTTAAAGCAAATAAGCCAAGAGAACAATTTGAAATTCGCCGTGGATGAAGAGGAAGAGTTTTGTGGGTGATAAATACTCTGCTGCCCTACTTGACTGAAAGACTAAGGCTTAAAAACTAAAATAAACTCTCAACAGTCTCTTGCTTTCTCCTTCAACAACGAGGTCCTACTCAGGGCTTTAGCCCATTTTATGAGACTGGTTATGTCTTAGGAAATAGCTGTCCTCAAGGACAGTGTGATTAATAGGAAAAGAAGATACGAAACTGCTTCTGTTCGATGAGCAAACAACGTTGCTGAAACTTAATTGCTTGTTTGTTTTTGTTTGTGTCCTACACCCTCAGATGCCAGTGAACCTGCAGACAACTCGGACAGTGAAAGTTCGTCCCATTCATCTGTGGAAGAAGGGGAAATTCGGGACAGTTCATGACGGTTCTTTGAGAGAAGAGGGTGGAATAAGCCTTTTTTTAATTATTTAATTAAATCTTTTTTTATACGACTGAGTTCTTAGAGGTTTGGTCTGGCTTCCATCACTAAAGGCAGCAGTTCCAAACTGCCTGCCTATTTTTGGATTTAGGAATACGTATTTAGGGTTGTAAATAAAGAGATAGGGAATTGCTGGTTCCAGAAAAAAAACTTATATTCTTATTTTATTGCACCCTTTTTCCATGTATCTTTAATGAATCAGAGTAACCCAAATTTAAGTTTCCAACTTAGTTTCAACAGTATATTTTTTCCTTTTACCCTAACAGCTCAGTGTCTGATTTCTGAGTTTAAATATTTGACCACATATTTGTGTTTATATGCGGATTTGCGTTTTAATGCTTAAACTTACTGAAAAAAAAATCCCACTGGTATTTCATTAGATTAATTTTCTTTTAAGGTATTTCCTTGTCATGCTGAGCTGCTGCAAATTATCTTACTTTACTTTTGATTTTAATCTTCTGCGGTGACATTTTGGGTGCCTGGTGCAATACATTTCTTTTTTTTTCTTACTTGGTTGCGTCTTCTTTAATGTGTTAAGGACATGTCAAACCATGTTTTCAGGGTAGCAAGGTGCTGTATGTTTAATCTTCTACCCTGATCCTTTAAATTAGCATGGGTTTTAAAATCAACGGATACATAGACTGTCACTAATGCTGATATATTGGACTGCTAAAGAATGCTTATGTTATGCATCTGGTATTAACTAGTTTGCCAACTGAAGCCAGGTATTGCAAATATTTGCTGGAATATCAACTAAATTTGCCTACTTAAAACCAAATAAACCTTAAAAAAGGAGTCCTGTGCTGTATCATCTGCTGACAATAGAAATCTGTTGTTAACTTCTGAGAAGATTTCTAGATGCCCGACCACTTACCCCTGCATCGAAGTCCCCCGTGGCTGTGGGGTCGGTTGGAGGACGAGACCAGTGTGTGCTGCAAGCAGTGTGAGAGCGGTGCCTGGGCCACTCTGCACGCTCACACCAGGGACTTCTAGGGAATCGGTGTTTGGGGTTAGTTTGCAAGGGTCTAGCTAAGTCGGCGTTGGTAAAGTCTTAAGGACGTGATGACTTTGTAGAGAGCTCTGCGAGGCTGTTGCTGCCATCGTTGTTCCCCCAGCCTGTTTGTCTCCTGCTCGGGACTAGCACCTTTGTGGCAACGGTTGGTGGCACGGGATGCACACCAAAATGCCATAAGGGGGTTTTTCAGTCGCAAGTGTTCTTCTTGCTGGTGCTGACCTTAAGACAACAGAAAGCAGTGAAGGAACTTGTTGAGGTAAGAGGGGTCTGTGACAGCGATGTGGGAGAGGGCTTGGGCTTCCAGACTCTCCGCCTGGGCTTCAGGGCACTAGGCTGTCGGTTCCTTGCCAGTCGTGCTGCATGGAGAGGATTTCTGAGATGTTCAGAGTTTTAGAAGTTATGTTTTTCACGCCTTTGCAAACAAATTGTCGTTAAAAAACTGTTCGCCGTGACATCTAGCTACATCTAGCTTGGAAAGAGCGTCAGAGCTCCCACGTGCTACTTTTTCTCACAGCCCTATCGCGTGTCCTTTCCCGTGTGTGTTTTGCAACCCCTGGTAAAACACTGAAATTTTTCTTCTTGCCCGGCGGTAGCCACCTGCGCTCTATTTTCTTTTTTGGTCATTGTTGGTCCTCTGCCCACCTCTTGTTTCAATGTTTGGTTTTTTTAACCCTTTTTAAAGGGTCAGGATTCCTAGCTATAGGTGCTGCTTTCATATTTTTTTTCAGTCCAGTGAAAGTGAATAATAAGCTTTTCCTAATCAGCGATTACTGCACGCTGACTTGGTAGCCACAAATTACTTTAAACCAGTCTTGAACCCGTTCGTAATAACACCCGTAAAAGAGCAGGACAGCAAAACTGCCATAATTCGTTTGCTAGAAAGTGTTTCATCTGGAGTGAAAGCGTGGCGTTCCTGTTACGATTCATAGCACACGGTGGAAATCGGGAGTGCTGCAAATATCCGTGGTGACCTGCGTGCGTGTGTGATGAGTCTGGGCCTGAGGAGGGCAGGTTTGTAATTTGCATTGCTCCCCTACGCTCTTGGAGGTGTTCGTTAATGGTATGAAAGGGGTTTGGTTTTTTTCCTTGCATAAAGCTAGTTTAAGCTTCCTTGTGAGCCAAGTGCAATCATAATTTGTTTTTAAATGAAGATGCCGTTAAATCTGTCCTGCAGATTTAAATCTTCACGTTAAAGAAGGCTTTAAAAAATTACTAAGGAGCAGTCCTGTGGCGGTTACTAGAACTGAAATTTCCCAAACAAAGCTGGGAATCGTCTTCCAGAGTTCAATCAAATCGAGAGTAAAAGGCCATGGTAGCATTTGCCATTCATTCCCAGGTCACTATTTACCTATTTTTATTTGGTTTTGGTAACGGTCACGCTGGTTGGAACGGTGGTGATTCAGCCAATGCAAGCCAAGATGCAACTCAAATATTTTTACGCAGTTTAGCAAAACGTGTTTGATTTTTGTTTATAAAACAGAATCAAAATAGCCTGGCTAAAAGCACGGCCTTACTGATGGCGGGTGCCCAGCGCAGGTCCTGCGACGGTGGGAATTCTTCAGGATGGTAAGGTTACAGATTTAATGGAAGTTTACGTGCGCTTTGGCTGGGCAGGTGGTTTTTAACACTTTGGTAGGCAGTTAGGGGGAGTTTATAATTCCTCCCTGAGTGACTTAACCCAGAACAAGCATCGCGTAAGAAACTGAAGGGGGAAAATACATCTTTAAAAGCTGTATTTTTAAATGTCTGGTCAAGCACTTGAAATGTCAAGACATGGAGCTGAGGCTGCCTGGAAAACTTCAGTTCTGTCCATTTTGAAAAAATACTGTAGTCATATTCTACGAGGATGCCACCAGGACGCTGCCTTGATTCAGCGCAGATGAAGTCTGTGAGTGGAGGCTGCGTGATGATGTTTTAATCTTCATCATTCAACACCAGCTTGCGTTGAGTGCTTGATTTTATGCCTACTATGCTTACTCATTAATTTTCCTCTATAAACTGCTCGTCACAGACGGAACAAGTGGGGTTTGTGTGTAGCGTCGTTCCGGCGTTTCTGTTAATGTTCAGGCTTTTCAGGTTTCAAACCCTGCACCCTCACCACGTGCTCGAGCGGAAGGGCCAGCAGCTTACAAAGCAAAGAGTCAAGGCTCTCGTCCTGAATGAACGTGCTACTTCAAGAAATGAAAAGCTTAATGAAGTCATCCCCTTCACAAGCTGTAAAGGACAAAAATAGAGCATAGCTAAGCACATAGCAATAGCGGAGAGGTAGGACTGAGTCAGCTGTGTGAGAGAACTTGGTTCTTGCCCTTTTTTGTAGAACTTCCTGGGAGTATGAGGCATAAGCAGCTGAGTTGTCACAGGTCAACAACGTTACCTCCCCTGTCAGCGTAACAAGCTGAGTTTTGAATGAACATACCCGAATCCTAGGTTTTGCTGTATTTATCGCCGCATTAGGAATTGTTGATCCGTAGAGGAAACGATGGTCGTGCTGCAGGATGCGTGGCTGGTGCTGGGTCTTGGAGGCGTGCGGGAGCGGTTTCTGTGGCTCCAGTTGAACACTGACGGTCGTGCTGCAGGATGCGTGAGTCTTGGAGGCATGCGGGAGCGGTTTCTGTGGCTCCAGTTGAACACCACCGGTTTACTTTGCACTGGGAGTAAAACTGCTGACCGTGCAGAACGCGCGCCCTAATCGACAAACGTACGTAAACGTCCAAGTTCACTGCAGTGCTGACGGGAAGCCCGAGCTCTGCGTCGTGTGCGAGCACGGCCGCGCTTCAGACCTTGCCCCGCCAGATACGGCTGTTCTCTGTTGACATCTGTAGGAACTGGGAACATATAGCACCTTGCGAGAGCGGGCTTTCAGGGAGCAAATACACAGCTGTGATGATGTAACTTCAGGCCCTATTTGGTCACAAACCTTTCATTCTGCTTTCTGAAGTCCCACGCTCTTTTCCTGAAAACATTTCTTCTTCCTCCCTCCTAAGGAAAAAATATCTTTTAATTTGTGTTTATGTCGTTGCTATGGCATTCAGTTAAACTGTATGCAGATGCAGGTTCTGTTAATAAGAGAGAAAAAAAAAAACAACTGTGTACTTCAGTGAACAAAGATTACCCTGTGTTTGTATTAAAATGTTGCTATGGCAGTGCATATGGTTTTATTTGGTGGAAATTTGTGGTGAAATGGAAGGAAGTCACATGTATGCAAGACAAACAAGAAACAGGAGCAAAACCAACTCGGAATAAATACTGAAACTGAAAGGGAAGTTGCAGATGACCTCTAAAACCAGGAAAAAACAAGGAGCGTTGTTTTGCTGCCTGTCTGCCCGTGATAAGAGCAGCATGTTCCCACTGCGTCCCGCCGGGTCTCAGTGACCCGTCGGACAGTGACTGAGCTCTCAACGGTGCTTTTATTGCGAGAGCTTCGCTCCCTCCTTGGCTCTCTGCATTGTAACGTTTTCTTTTGTTTTGTTTTGGAAGCGGAGTTCCGCTGGCTTGGCCTGATTTCACCACTGCCGAAAAGCATTGCCAGGCTATCTTACTGTAGTAGGCTTCTTGGCAGAAAAAATCAATAGAGTGGTAAAATGTGGAAAGCCACTAGAGCCTTGCCTGCCTTTGGGGCAAGGGGAAGCCTTTGTGGACTTGCTGGCTTCTACTAGTGATAGAAACAGTGGATTTTTATATTTCTTTTTTTTTTAACTGGTACTGTAGTCCTCGTATTTATCTCGTCCTTTTGCATTAGGCTGCTTTTTGCATCAGTTGTGTCAGTTTTGTGGGGTTGGGTGACAAGTCCGAGCAGGTTAAAAATAATCTGCCAAAGCAGCAGGGATAGAAATGAGAGGGGAGAGGGAGTCTTGATTTGGAGAATAAATTACCACGCTCGGAGCTGGCTGGTTCCCGCGTGATCCCAGCTGGTGGAGAAAGCAAAAGTGGTTTTAAAATCCCATCGCCACTTTCTTCCCGTCGCCCAAGTTCCGCCTCGAGGAGGAGGAAGAAAGGACTGCGAAAGCTGCTCGCTGCCTCGCCGCTCCTCGCTTCTCCACTTTCTGCTGAATCGTTTCGTAGCCCCAGAACTTGTCCGTTTTGCCAAGAGTGCCACCAGGGAGTAGGGATATGTCCAAGTGAGGTAAAAATTATTTGGTGGATGAGGTACAGACATGCAGGAAAAAGAGCGGACAGGGGTGGCGTTAAAAGCTTGCCTGAGGAGCCCCCATCACTTTCATACCTAAGCTCTCAGTGGGATCTCTTCGTTTCCTTTTTTTCCCAGTCCCTGCTTTCAGCTCTGCTTGGGCATCCGTATTGGTTTTAATGGGGTTGTTCCACTACAGCACAAGTATTGGCTTCTGTAGAGTAAAATACATTTTCCTGTTTTAAGTTCTCATCAACAGACTCGCTGTTTTTTATAGCCATGGCACCTTGATGTCTGTCTTTATCAAATCCATGAGCTAATTGGGATCTAACCTGCTTGGTTTGAGATGCTGAAGGAGATGAGTAGGTTCTCAGAAACTGGTGGTTTTGACTCGGGCGATCTGCTGGGCTCCTTTTGATCTGATGTTCAACCGTTGTTCTCGGGACACCGCTGGGCTATGCTGCTGACTGTTTATCTGACACTGTAACGGCGTCCCTTCATTCTTACCCAAACTGCCATCGTCATGAGGTTGAGTTGCTAACATACGTCTCCCAGCTAGATTCCCATCTGGGCAAATCTGCGCACCCTACCTGTCAGTTTCTTCTGCCTAGTAAGCAAAAACCTTTACAAAATCTTGCGTCATCTTTTCCTCCTGGACAGTGACTACGTTCTGTCCCATAAGTATACTTCCAAGACAGATGAAGTTCCTTATGTGGACGGTGCCTTGGGGTCTTTCAGGATCTTCTCCGATATAAATTGTGTATGTAGAAGTCGTAGCTCTGTAGTTTTTCTGGGGAAAAAAAAATCCTAGCATGCTGGATACCATCTATTCAGTTTCTTGGTGTTTGGCCTTTACAGGGTAACAGGCGCAGACGCTTGTTGTATCATCTTGTTGGTTGAAGTCCTCTTTTACAGGATTTCTATTTTCTAGGTACCAAGCCTCACTGCAGCTCAGGTGTTCATCAGTTGAAATGCATTTATAAGTGTCTGCACAGCTAGTTGTGTGTTACTGCTTTCACCACGGCACCTCCACGTTTCTCTGGGCTATTTTATACGTGGCAATGTAAGGTGGAGAAAAAATGGTGAAGATGAAAACAGGGACATGCCTACATCAAAAAAATGGGCTCGAGGCAGAGCAGCTGGTAAAACCACGCAGCCTTCCCTTGCTGTGGGCCTAGCACGCCGGGCATGGTGTGGAGATAGTTCCACTGACTAAACAGGAGTAAACTAAAATGTGCATGTGCATTGAAGTGCTTTTCTGCACTGGGGGTGCTGGTGGATGAAAAGCTGGACATGAGCTGGCAATGTGCACTGGCAGCCCAGAAGCCAACCCTACCCTGGGCTGCATCAGGAGAAGTGTGGCCAGCAGGTCGAGGGAGGGGATTCTGCCCCTCTGCTCTGGTACCAGAGACCTCTCTTGGAGCCCTGCATCCAGCTCTGGAGCCCTCAGCACAAGAAGGACATGGACCTGTTGGAGCGGGGCCAGAGGAGGGCTACAAAAATGATCCGGGGGCTGGAGCCCCTCTGCTATGAGGACAGGCTGAGAGAGTTGGGCTTGTTCAGCCTGGAGAAGAGAAGGCTGTGGGGAGACCTGATTGCGGCCGTTCAGTGCTTAAAGGGGGGCTGTAGGAAAGATGGGGAAAATCTTTTTAGCAGGGCCTGCTGTGACAGGACAAGGGGTCAGGGGGGTTGGGCTAGATGACCTCTAGGGGTCCCTTCCAACCCAAAACATTCTATGATTCTAAGATCAGCTCAGAAGGGACAGCATCGGGCAGGAGCAAGCCTCTGGTGCAAGACATTTAGCTGCTGCTGCTGCGTAGGTAGGTGGGTCTGACTTCCAACCCTGAATGCCTGCCTGCTGCAAACGTTCTTGTTTCAGTCCTCAAGACCTGTGCAGCTGTAGCTGAGAAATTCTCCCTGCCTACCCCAACCTGTGGCAGAGCTCCTTCTCTGCAGCCTGGGGGGGACTGATGCAGTTTCAGTGGCTGGTGAGCACAGGAAATCCTCCCGCAGCAATCCCGCCCGCCCACGGTGTCACTGCCTGTTCCCACGCAGCCCATGCACCACCTCGGCTTCCCGCCAGTAGCGGGGAGATGGGCCCAATTCCCAGAAGGTGTCCACCGGGGGGTCGGGCAGCCCGGTGGGCAATGCTTTGCTGTGGATGTATATATGGAGTACAGGGGTTTGCATGGCTCCGCTCAGCGAGGGCTAATGAAAAGCGCGGCTGCCGTGCTGTCGGTAGGATCTTGGCTCTTCCTCCATCCACTGCTCGTGCAGGAGAGCGAGCTAGCAGCATCCCAGGAGAGGGGATTCAATGTAATCGTGGAAGTCCCATTTTCTGCATACTCCTGCTTTTATTTTGTTTCCTGGGATGCAGCACTTAAGGAAGCAGAAACTTTGTCTTCGCTGTGTTGCCTTCGTTAGTAGGGAAGATTTTGTACGTAACCCTGATGCTGTGGTGGGTACCACCATCAAACCCTTGTAAATAAGTGCGTCGAGCGCACGACTACGCCTTCCTTCAGTCCCACAACCATACTTTGACAAATGCTCTTTTTGGTGGCAGCGCCGGATTCAGCCAACTGCCCCCTGCCGCCGCGCTCCATCCTCGGGCGACCCCAGCGCTTGCAGCAGCTCAGCAGCTTGGAGGGCTTGCGTGACAGATCGGGGCAGACGAAGGGCCGGGGCGGGAGGGGGGGGGCGGCGCGGCCGAAGCAGGGCTGCTGCGGAGGGGGAAGCGCTGAGGCCCGGGTCTCC